TTTTTTTTGGTCTGTCTCGCCCCTCCCCCCAAAAAAAACTCTTGTGTTTCTTCTCCAAGCCAGCAACTTCTGTCGCCTACAGTACATTGTGCTAGAAAGGAATTGTGTCGAAGAAATGATTTCCTTTCTTAATTATATATTCTTCTTCGGATTACATTTGGCAGGAGGGCAAGACACCTTTCTAGACTGCCAGGCTAAACAGCAGTTTCCTCCTTTTGTCTACTCTCAGTCCCTCCAGGACTGTATGGATGCATCAGAAACAGGAGCTGAGTGTATTCCTTGGCTGTCTCTGGAAGCTGGCGATGTACATTCTGGGAAAGAAGATAGAAACCACCCCCCCCCCAGGTGTGCTTATTTATGGGAAGCTGGATGAAAATCAAAGCTTCCTATGGGGGGGGGGTGGGGGGGGAAATGGGAGGAAAAATCCCAAGAAGACTCATGCCTACCCAAAGGCTGTGAGGGGAACTGATCTGTGAGGAGCAGGATGTATTCTTTGAGGAACTGAGCAGCTGAGTGTATTCTTTGGCTGTCTCTGGAAGCTGGCAATGTATATTCTTGGAAAGAAGATAGAAACCACCCCCCAGTGTGCTTATTTATGGGAAACTGGATGAAAATCAAAGCTTCCTATGGGGGGGAAATGGGAGGAAAAATCCCAAGAAGACTCATGCCTACCCAAAGACTGTGAAGGGGAGTTCCATGATGACTGAATACTCTGCTCTGTAAAAGGAATCCTTACAGTAGGAAGAAGAATTCCATACTAGTTTCTGGGTGCGTTCAGACGGGCGTTTCAGCCGGCATAAACTGCACCGGTTGGAACCGGTGCAGTTTATGCCAGCTGAAACGCGATCACACGTACCTCCTGTCTGCAGAGCCCATCGCTGTATGCCCGTTCACATACAGTGGGCGTCGGCGGTTTGTTTGTTTTTTCTAAACTCAGTTTGCGCATGCGCATAGGCAGCCATCCACAGAATGGCGATCTCTGCACATGCGCAAAACACCCCGTCCCGAAAAGCATGCCCTGAAGAGAGGACTTATCTTTAAAGTTTAAAGAGCAAACTGGCCTCCCTGAGGTCCCGGACTCCTCTGAAACGTTAAACTAAGGACCTTTTTTTTTTCTAAACAAACGCCGGGGCAAAGCTTCGCCCAAGCGCATATCGCCGACCTAAAAAAAAAAAAGGCGGGCGAAAATCAGAAGCCTTGGGCTTCCGAACGGAAGTGGCTCTACAACGGTGGAGAGCGATCAGACGGGGGGGTAAAGCGATTACAATCGTTGCACTCAGGATACCACCACTTGGGGACCTAGTGGCAGAATACAACGGTGTAAAGCTCTTTGCAACGGTTAGGGACAGAAGGCAGATGTTCGCCGTGTGAACGCTGGTAAGTACACCGATTCCAACCGGCACCTATACCATTGAAAATGCCCCGTCTGAATGCACCCACTGTGTCATCACATGATGGTTTTCTGTGAGAGCGAAATTTTATTTTGTGTCATATGAGTGCTCACCAGCAATTCCTGTGGTACATTCCTGATAGATGTTTAGCATATTGGGGAAACATAAGTCTCCACACACTGAGAGCTAGTTTGGTGTAGTGGTTAAGTGTGCGGACTCTAATCTGGGAGAACCGGGTTTGATTCCCCACTCCTCCACTTGCCCCTGCTGATGTGACCTTGGGTCAGTCACAAGCTCTGGCACAGCTGTTCTTGAAAAAGAGCAGTTTCTGTCAGTGCTCTCTCAGCCCCACCTACCTCACAGGGTGTCTGTTGTGGGGAGGGGAAGGGAAAGGAGTTTGTAAGCCGCTCTGAGACTCCGAGTGAAGGGCAGGGTATAAATCCAATCTCTTCTTCTTCATGCTTTACCTGACAGCCAGGATCTTTCACAGGCAGGAGCACCCTAGGACCCAAATACACAATATGTGTGACATAAGTCAGGACACAGGTGCCTGACCTGATTCGTAGTCACACAACAGGCCCATAGCCAGGGTTTTGTGGCTTTTGGGGGCAATATTGCAAATATTTTTCTGGTGGAACTGGTGAGGTTGCCACTATTTTTATGTCAGCTCCAATCCACCCCCAAGCCCGACTGCTGGCAGCCACCCCTCTCCCTCCCCTCCCGCAAAATTTAAAGGACCCTTCAGCTGATTGGCGGGGAGCACGTGGCCTGCCGATCAGCTGGGGGGCCCTTTAAATCATGCAGGAGGGGAGGGAGGGGGTGCGTGCCTTCCCCGGTTTCTTCTCAAGCAGGGGGCCGTGCATGTGCCCCTCCCCAATTCTTCTCAAAAAATCTTGTGGGGCTCGCTCTTTAAGGAAGGGGGCTGAGCCCCAAATAACCCCACTGAAGCTACAGGCCAGGTTCAGTGTAACTGACCTTGAAAGAGTTGTGTTATTCCATACAGTCTCAAAGGCTGTGAGGGAGGAGGAGAGGCTTTAGGCTTCCCTCCCTCACTATTTTTGCCAACAGAAACAGCCACTGGAAGGGTGTGTGTGGCTGTTTGTCACTTCCTTAGACTCCAGGAGACAGTCTCCCTGGAACATCCGCACTCTAATGTTTCTTGGACATTTTGCTTCCTTAGACTTTGGTGTTGGGTGCCATTAAGGGGGTAAGAGTTAGACAGAGTTGAATTCATGAAGCAATTCTCCCCCATAAACCCCACTGAAATGAATGGGAGGGGGTGAGCACTGCAGGAGAACTTCTTGATGGATTTTGCCCCATATTTGTTGAAGAAGCATGTCATTTCAGTTTCCTCTCCAGACTCTGAACTGGATTGGGCTAAGATTGTTGGCGTGGTGATCTCTCTTGGTTGCTGTTCTTTGCTGGTGAGTGCTTCATCTGTGGCAGGGAGACGTATTGAGCTCAAATGGCTTGATCTGATGACCTTTGGGTGCCTTCGAGCATTATGCGTTTATGGTTGTCTGGCAATCTGACAGTATTGGATGCAAACAAAAAATGTATAACCCATTGGCTCTTTATAGGCAACAGCCAGTGATTCAGAATCCTTTATCCTTTCTGAAAACCAGTCTGCTAACCGTGTCTGTAAGATTTATAGCAGTATTCTGGTTTCACAGAATCATAGAATCTCGGAGTTGGAAGGGGCCATACAGGCCATCCAGTCTGGCCCCCTGCTCAGTGCAAGATCAGCTTAGAGCATCCCTGACAAGTGTCTGTCCAGCCACTGTTTAAAGACTGCCAGTGAGGGGGAGCTCACCACCTCCCTAGGCAGCTGATTCCACTGTTGCACAACTCTTGCTGTAAAAAAGTTTTTCCTAATATCCAGCCAGTACCTTCCCACCCTTAATTTAAACCCATTATTTCGAGTCCTCTGCTGCCAACAGGAACAGCTCCCTGCCCTCCTCTAAGTGACAGGCCTTCAAATACTTCAAGAGAGCCATCATGTCCCCCCTCAACCTCCTCTACTCCAGACTGAACATTCACAGGTCCCTCAGCCTTTCCTCACAGGGCTTGGGCTCCAGTATTGTTCTGACTTGCCTTTTGTGTTTCTTTGTGTCTCCCAAACATGCTGGTTTACAGCGAGGTCAGTGGAGTATTCCTGAAGCTGCAGTCACAGGGTTTAATTACTGCTCACCCACTTTCCCAAAGGAATTAAGAAAAATCTCTTAACAAGAGTAGCAGACTGCACACTCAATGGAGTCATGGTGGTGCAAAATAGGTAATGCAAAAACCACATAATATTTTGACCATTCATAAATGAATGCTCAGTTATGTGACATGTGTTGGAAGGGACCTTGCAGGTCATCTAGTCCAACCCCCTGCACTCTGCAGGAGCATAGCCGAAAGATAGCCCTACAACATACTCGAAAGATGGTCATCCAGCCTCTGCTTGAAAACGTCCAGCGAAGGAGCATCCACCACGTCCAGAGGCAATCTGTTCCACTGCTCAACCACTGTATTGTAACGACTCCCTTGTAATTTCCACCACTGTGGTCCTGTGCAGACTGAAGTACATTGCTGATTGGAAAGGAGAACATCAAAGATGTGTACTATTATAAGGCAGCTGCAGGCTGGCCTTTTTATACAACAGGTTCTGAACAGGAGCAGTCTGAGTAGTGATACTTGGGAACTTGAGCAGCAGTAGTCTCAAAAATCTACAGACATTCTTATCTGTGAGAGTTTGGGAGAATGTGTGAGCAGACAATTGGGAGACTTTCCAGAGCATGGAAATTTCTATTTATGGCACTAGCCACACTGAGGATGTCCTCTTTGCCGTGACGAACCGGACACTTCTAGTGGCTAGCTGAAGCACCTACTAGGGATGTGGGAAGCTGTTGGGTACAATGTCTCTGTAAAGTTTAATGATCTTCCAAAGATCTACAAATTCCTAAACAAAATCCACTGGGGCCCTTCATATTCCATTTGCTGCTGAATTATCCTATTTTTAAAATCTATTTTTATACAGGTCTGAAATGTCCTGCAATTGAACTATAAAACCCATGATGCATGGTAACTGTAAAACCCATGATGCATGGTAACTGTAAAACCCATGATGCATGGTAACTGTAAACATGCCACTTATATACTACATCTGGAACACTATAATATTTCGGAAAGGAAATGATTATAGTAGTCAAGGGAGCTGCAGAAGCAATATAGATACGTAAATCTTCCCCTATTTCAGAAATATAAATTTCACTCAAGTTTGACTTTCGGTGGACTTGGGTGGCAATCCTACTAGAAACCCCCACTTTACTTTATACATAGGTGTTCTAGTTTGCCATGGGACACTTCTGGTCCCTTGCTGCAGTTTCTCTGAGCACTCCAAATGTTCTTCTGCCCATAAGCTTGACCTGAATAGATCCCTCCATAAGAGAAAGACAGTGTTATATGTTCAGACCAGTAGCTGCCAGCAAGTTGATTGCATGTGGTTATGACTTGGGGGTGGGGAGGGGAGCTTCGTGGAGGAGGCAATAGGAAAAGGATGCAGTTAGGTTCTGCGCACTGTCGAGGAAGTGCTGGCACGAGACGTCTGCACAGCGGAGGGAGCTGCGAATGCTTCTGCCCGTCCACCAGGAGAAATCAGAGGGACCAGCCTGAACTATGGTAGGTGCAGCTTCTTTCTGGGGATGTGGCAGGTTGTGGTAACTGGGGCATAACAGAACACTGGTTTGCAGTGGGTTCACGTTGCATTTTCCTTGGCCTGTGCAGGGCAGTGGAACACAGCAGCGTTGGGGAAAGTGGTTGCTGCATGGGTAGCAGTACCCTCTCAGCACTCCTTGGCACTGTGGGACTGCCTAAGCACACACTGTCTTATAGAATGGGTGTGTGGTGACGATGTCAAGGTTTGGGGGAAAGCTGAGAAACAAGGGGAAACAAGAAAAGGGCAGCTTCAAGACTCAGAAGCATATTATGGCATATGTGTTTGTGAGCATTGTAGTTTTGACTGACGCAGACTAACAGGGCTGTTCCTTGGGATTTTAAGGGCAATTAGCTATATCCCCGAATGTTAACACAGAATGTTGGGGCAAATGAAAACATTGTTCTTCAGACTGACCAGTGCCTGAACTTAGAAAACAATGCCGTTACTGTAGCTTCTGAAGTCTCTTCTTATTAAAATGTTTTACAACAAGGGTGGGTTCTGTGTTACCATGAAGTGTTCACTACCTCAAGCAATATTTGTATGAACTGTGCAACTTGCTACTTTAAGGAAAAAAAAGTGTACTCCAGATTTGAACGTAGAAATGTGAGGACATGGTCCAGATAAAGCGAGACACGACCAAATCCATTTGAAAGCAGGAGAAAAAAAAGACACACAACCAAATCCATTTGAAAGCAGGAGAAAAATAGTTGTGAGTAACTGAAGTGGTGCTGATTTCAGAGGGACATCGCCACAAGGAATTTTTGCTTGGAAATGCTGACGGTCAGTGAGGCTTTCTCCTCTGTCACCAGGCGGGAATGATCCCACCACATGGCTTTGCTCCCGTTCTTTTCAATGTGGCTTGCATGGGAGATCTTCCTGTGAGTTTGCACCCTTTGTTGGGACTAGCCAAATCACATAGGTTTGTTTTTTAAAAAATTAAAGCATGCCTCATTATGCAGGAAACGATGTAAACGTTCCAACCTTTCCCTAAATTTCTGAGAAGTTTGCAAAAAAAAGGTTTTTTTACATTGCTGGGAAGGGAACGAACAAACACAGACAAAAACTGAGGGGCCTGGGTAAAGATGCCAGAGGATGGTCTTGGCTGTGGTCAGGGGCTTAGGCAATAGGATTACCCACTATTTTTTTAACCTTTAAAAAGCAGCTGTAGGGACTTGATTTCGATCCATGTTGGGGCATCGGGCTGAGGGGAGTGTCTTTCCTCCCGTTTTCTTGATCAAAACTGCCCCCTCTACCAGGCTACAATTAGCCTTGCTAACTTTGCCTGCTGGGGGGGGGGGTTTCTTATCAGGGAAACAGCATTGGGGGAGGACAGTTAAAGCCCTTCACGTTCAGCACCATGACACTATTCCGAATAGTTTCCTCAGGTGTTTGTTAGGTTAAAAAATGTGATCCAATCGTCGATCCTCTCGTCTAGCATCCCATTTGGCCCTAATTGCCCTCCTTCCCAATTGCCTCCCTGCTGAGTAGCGGCTACAGTTGCCAGACTTCGGGTGGGGCCTGGAGATCTCCTGCAGTTACAACTGATCTTCAGGCTACAGAGGAGAGCTCCCCTGGAGAAAATGGCTGCTTCGGAGGGTGAATGCTATGGCATTGTACCCTGCTGATATAGCTTTCCTACCAAATCCCACCCTCCTGAGGCTCCGCCCACCCCCAATCTCTAGGAATTTCCCAACCCAGAACTGGCAACCTTAGTAGTGGTATACCCAGGGTCGCCAACCTCCAGGTGGCAGCTGGAGATCTCCTACTATTCCATTTGATCTCCAAGTGACAGAGATCAGTTCACCTGAAGAAAATGGCCACTTTGGAAGGTGGCCTCTATGGCATTAAATGTCATCCTCCTCAGGCTCCTCCATCCCCAAAATCTCCAGGTATTTCCCAACCTGGAACTGGCAACCCTACTTATGAGATGGGTGCTTGGGAGAAGTGGGAAGGCTTCTGTCTTTGCACTCTTCTGGTGACCTTCCCGGACGTGTGTGCTTGGCCATTGTGGGAAACAGATGGGTAGGGGTACCAGAGCTCTTCTTATCTTTTTAATTTTTCCGGGGGGGGGGGCTAGTAAACTTTTCCTTTGACCCTTGAGATTAAAAACGCAATTGTAGCAGGTAGATACATCTGGCAGCATCAGTAGATCATTGGAAATATTACCACAGCTTGTACACAAATATGCACATGTGTTCTGGTACAAATCTGGCCAGCCTTTGTGCCTAGAGTTGCCAACTATAGTTTGAGAAGTTCCTGGGGAGGGTGTAGGGCTGCCACGTGGTGGTTAGAGATCTCTTGGGATTACAACTGATCTCCAGGCAACAGAGATCAGTTCACCTATTTATCACATTTCTGTCCCATCTCCTCAAGGGAAGCTGATCTCTGTAGTCTGGAGATTACTTGTTTGAAGCCCTAGCACTGTTCATTGTACCATCTTTGTTCTCTTGCCATGTTATATGCTCTCTCACATTGGATAAGGCAGAAACTGTAAAATTATTGGAGACATTGTGATCTTTGGGCATAACTGAGGCCAGTTTAATTCCCACTGATTCCATGGGGTAAGTACTAAATCTGTGTATCAAATCTTTATTTCTGACCCAAAGGGTGTGACTAGTAGGCAGTCATGGTACAGATGGATGAACAAAAATGTACTGGTGGTTGCTGTCATCAGCTTGGGTAAGTATTTGTGAGATTTACTTTTTTTTATTTTAAAGAGCCATTTTAGTTTTACATTGGCCGTGTGCTGGAAGGATATGAAGCAATAGCTTTGGGGGGAAGTTGTGAAAGAGAAACAGTGTTTGAGGTTGCCCTGATTCTGATGTTGACACCACTCCAGAGGCAAACTAGAGAGCTTCATTGGCAATCCATCTTTTAAAAGACAGGTTGGATTAGCACATCCCAGTGCTGATTATTGTCAGTTTTCCTGGCATGCCCACAATCGAGAAATCCTTGATTATGGCACATAATCTTTTCAAAACAAGGGTTTGGTCCTTAGAGGTATGGGAAGAAACTATCAGGGATGGGCACAAACCAAACCATGAAACAAATTTCATCATAATTTTTTGCCTTGTTTGTGGTTTGCAAACTGAAGTTCATGATGGGTCTACCATCACAAACTTCCATGAACTTTTAAAGCCATTCATGGCAGTTCATGGATAGAGTAGAAGGCAGTGGTTTAAAGGGACTCTGAGTACTGCAGAGGTACTGCAGCCCCTTTCAATGGGGTTTGTGGGGCCACAGACCGGTTCAGTTTGCGAATGAACCTCCCAGTTCAATTTGGTTCTTGGTTCAGTTTGTGGTTTGGCTACGAACCAACACGAACTACATTTTTCTAGTTTGTGCCCATCCCTAGAAACTATTAAAATAACAGAAGATTTTTTTTAAGGGGCATTTATTTCCTTTTTGAGCGGGGGGGACGGATGATATAACTTTGCATCACTTTGTTGTTAGGGCTTCATAAAATTAGATGTTGCACTATTAGCATTAAATTTCTCAGTCACACGCTCAATCTGGCCAATGGTCTATCTAGTACCACAGGGACGCCTACAAGCAAGGTCTGTGGATTACAGTCCCCAGCTGCTGATGGCTCCCCAGCATCTGACATCAGAGGCTTTCTGCGTCTGAGCCATGATAGCCGAATGAGTCCTCTGGGTTTACAACCACCAGTAGATCTCTCCTTCAGAAATCTATCCACACCTCTTTTAAATCCACCCAGTGGCCATCACCATACCTTATGGCAATGTGTTGTAGTTGCACAAGTATATTTTGTAATGGCACAAGTCAACTATTCACAGTGTGAAATAGTATTTCCTTTGGCTATCTACATCCAGTCAGCTATGTGGTGATGGAAAGTGCTGTCAAAATGCAGCTGACTTATGGTGACCCCATAGGGTTTTCAAGGCAAGAAATGTTCAGAGGTGATTTGCCACTGCCTGCCTCTGTGTAGCGACCCTGGTGTTCTTTGGTTATCTCCCATCCAAATACCCTGCTTAGCTTCTGAGATCTGACAAGATCAGGGTACCCTGGGCTATCCAGGTCAGGGCATCAGTGTCATGGTGGAAAGTGATAGCAGGTGCCACCAATTCGCAGCTGACTTACGGTGACCCTGTAGGGTTTTCAAGGTTTGCCATTGCCTGCCTCTGCATAGTGACCCTGGTATTCCTTGGTGGTCTCCCATCCAAACACTGACCAAGGCAGTTCCTGCTTAGCTTCCACGGTCTGATGAGATCGGGCTAACCTGGGCTATCCAAATCAGGGCCATTAGTTTCATAGGGTAACTCTAAGTTCTAATATTATAAGAAGGGGGGAAGGTATCTTTTTATTAAAATTATGCACTGTGTAGAGAACGTTATAGATCGCTTAGCATGGCACCCCAGTCACTGTTTTCCTGTTCTAACATCCCCTGGCAACCTGTTACTCTGGCAGCACTCTTGTCTCCGATGGCTGTGAGTGCCTGGACGTACCACTATGGGACTGAATCAGTGCTGACATGGGAAGATGCAAGGAGGTATTGCCAGACCTACTACACCGACTTGGTAGCAATCCAAAACCAAGAAGAAGTCCAGTACCTCAATGAACACATACCTTACCATAAAACATACTACTGGATTGGGATCCGGAAGATTTACAATGTTTGGACCTGGGTGGGAACCAATAAAACCCTGATGAAGGAGGCAGAGAGTTGGGCTAAAGGCGAGCCCAACAACAAACGTTCTAACCAGGACTGTGTTGAGATTTACATTAAAAGGGATTCGGAGTCTGGGAAGTGGAACGATGAACCTTGTAAGAAAAAGAAGCGGGCCCTGTGCTACACAGGTAATGATACAGAACACTCTATATTGTTGCAGCTGGTATCCAGCATGATAGCTAGGGTGGTGGCTTTGTGTGTGGGGGGGTATGTGCATGTGAAATGAGTACACTTGACCATTACCTAGGGATCCAGGGAGCCTAGGATGAACTGTGAACATAGTCTCTGACATGGGCTGCTCCCACATGCAGACAATTCTCTGCATAGCTCTTACTGCTGCTGAAAATGCATTCTCAGTAGCATTCTCAGTAGCAATGGAGAACCCACATGGAAGTTTTCCTGACACTCTCTTTGCTTCAATCCTCCATTGTCCCTCCCACTGCCAGTGGTATTTCTCTTTTTAAAAAATCAGTGATAGCTCTATCATTATAACATTACAACGCAGCAACAATCTATTACACAACAGTATACACGTTTCCAGCTTTCTTTCTTTTCTTTTTTAAAAAATCAAGTTTCTAGACCTTTTTAGTTGGTTGCACATTTCTGCAACAAGGGTTGAGACTTGGTTGACTTTTTTTTTAACTGAAAGCTGGGAAGTAGTGCTTTGATGCAATAGACTGAAATAATGCTATAGCAATATAGCAAATATTGATCCCCCCCCCATAGCCTGAAAAAAGCCCCATGGTGGAGGGGGGAAGTGGTTGCTGTGGGGAATATAGTAAGGAATGGCACTGATGTAGGTAGAGCCTGGGGAAAAAAGCATACTTACCTATCCGCATGGTGCCCAGAGGTGCTTGGACTGTGATCTTTCTCAGAAGATTGTATCGAACATTGCAGCAAAGCAGGGGGAAATATGGAAGCAGGATGAATAGAGGATGATGTCATGTGGATTCTCTGGAAACCAGAAGAACTGCAGTAAGGAAGCCAAAGTGGAGCAGAGCTTCCCTGTGGAAATAGCTATGATCTATTTCTGTCTTTTCAGACATTTTTCATTCCTGACTCACGAGGTCCAGGACTTGAGTTGTAGGGGAAACATAGCTACATCAAATATTATCCTTGATATGGACTGACAATCATCATGTCTCCTTCTGCATAATGAAAGGCAAGAGGGCTAGACTTGTTGCTGTGGGAATAGCATCGCTGTGGAAGAGGAACCTTTCCCATCATAACAAGGGAGACATGAGCATCAGTATTAGAGCAGAGGGAGACTACAATCTCTGTAATATTCACCATGGTGTGGCTGGCAGTGGTGGACTAGTGATATAGGTTCTGATCCAGCATAAACTTTCAGAGATGAGTAGCCAACTTTGTTGGGGAAACTGGCTAGTCTTTAGATGGCACACGTGTGGAAATAACTGGCTACAGAGTACCATAATTGGATGGTATGGTACTTAGTGGAGTGCACTCACTAAGGTCTGTGCAAGCAAACACAGCTTTGAGGATTGACCTGATAATCGTAGTAGAAGTCAGCTATGATCAGCATTGATTGGCTTGTGCTTGTGACATTGGAAATCAACCTGCTCCCTCACTGGATAAATTTTTAAACTGTTTATTATTAGGGCACCAAATTAGAGAGCTAGCCTTGTCGTAGTGGAGGAGAAAATGGTGCCTCCAGATTTTTAGGCCTGTTGTATGCAACCTCAGTCAAATCAGAAGCTGCTTGTGAGAATTCATTGATTCTGCTTCTTGATCAACCCAAGTCAAGGGCAAAACTGGGAACATCCATGTATCTTTTTCACAAGTTTGTTATGTTCATGTTGAATGTATAATGGAGTCAGTCAGGTTGAACTCTGAAACCAAAAGGGACATGTTCTAAGGAGAGATTTATTCTCCTCCTTCTCCTGCCTTTCTTAGCCTTAAGATATGGCTTGGCAGTGTAAAATCACTTAATGTTTCTGCTTTTAACCTACCTTCAGAAATATAATCTGAATAGATTCAAGTATGAGAACACCAGTCCTCATTTTCTGATAGCTTTGGGGTGAACCTGATGGAGTGGGAAGTTTAAAAATCTGCCACCTGCTTTTTCAAACCTTGCCATTTGATGCTAACAAATATGAACACTCACTCATGCTGGAGCAATGAATTTAATTGACTCTGAGAGAAGAATTCAGGTTTGATTTTCATGAAAACTTGGGGTATTGTTGGAGCAAAGTCTGGGAGAATGCCAAGTAAATAACCCTGATTACAGCTCTCTAGAGTAGATACTCAGCCATCCCAATGACTTTCTGTTAGGGTAACCAGATGCCAAGAAGGAAAGTGCTCTTGTGCAAGGAAGTTGTGAAAAGTAGGAGTTTGATGAAGTACAGCTTTTCTCACATCTGCGTGAAATACCTGTGCATGCCAAGGTTCCTTACTAAGCAGCTCTAGAAGGTACAGGAAGCTTTCCTTCATTGCATCTGGTCACCTGACTTTCAGTGTGAAGTTTTTACTTGATATGGCCACGCGCAGGGGTCATTTAATAGAAAAAGAGGTGCAGGAGCTCATTAGCATAACTTATTTGCATATGCCACACCCCCTGACATCACCAGAAGTGTGTCAGAAGGCAACACCCACAGCTCAGGCTCCACTGGACTGTTTTGGATTGCTAGCTATTGGAGATCTGTCCTCGCAGATCTGTCCTCACAGAGGAGGGAGAGCTTGTACCTGAATAAAACTTGGTCTTAAAGGTGCCACTGGACTGTTTTGGACCGGGGGGCCAGGGGGAGGGGCTCTGCAACTTACCTGGCTGCTTCTTTCTCTGACTGAGGGCTGCTGGGAACAGGGGGTGGGGCTTGTTGCATGTGCCCCCCCCTGGGCTCTTTACTGCCGGAGCTCCGCTCCTGTGCGTTCCTGCAGGAAATGACCCCTGGCCATGCGTAAGTTGAGCTCCTGTAGAGAATTATCAGAAGTTGGACTGAAGGCAGGGGAAACTGGCCTTGGGATTCTTACTGCTTTGAGGATGAAGGCAAACGGAAATGGGACTGTAATAATCTATCTCCCAAGAAACCCTGGCGATTATAAAAGTGCTGAAAAGTTAGATTTGTGACATGGACTGCTTCCACACAGGTAGGGGTTGCCAGCTTGGGGCTGGGAAATTCCCGGAGTGGAGCCTAGGGGGAGGCAGCGTTTGGGGAGGGGAGAGACTCCAGTAGGGTTTAATGCCATGGAGTCCACCTTCCAAAGCATCCATTTTCTCTCTGCCTTCTGGAGGTCAGTTGTAATTCCAGGAGATAGCCAGGCCCTAACTGGAGGTTGGCAAGCCTACACGTGAGGATTCCTCCTGTCATGGAAAGCATGAAGGGCCCCTCCCCCCGCCCGATTGAGGGGAAACATCCACATGACATCATGCTTGGTCCAAGTGCTTCTGGGGTCCCTGTGGGAAAAGTGTGGCTCTAAGCTGCCATTGTGCCTGTACCGTTGCACAAGTGTGATGAGAGAAAAGGGAGGAGCAAGGGGTGGGGAGGCAATGGCAGCAGAGACCAGAGTGGGGTGTGGGGGTGTGGGGATCCCATTCTTGCCCCTTTGTGCACCAGTTGCTGCAGCTACTGTGGCAGGGGGTGTCACATTTTTGTGGGGCCCCCCATGAAGAAACAGCCATCAGAATGAGAGAACTCTAATGCTGGCCTGTCTCCTATACAGCATCTTGTCAGCCGTCTTCCTGCAGTCAGAATGGCGAGTGTGTAGAGACCATCGGGAACTACACCTGCCACTGTTATCCTGGCTTCTCTGGGCCCGAGTGTGAAGATGGTGAGTCTGTCTCTGTCTCATTCATAAAACAATGTCCAGATTCACTGCTGGGCGATGAAAAGCATGTACAGTTTAGTCAGGGCTTTTTTTGTAGAAAAAACCCAGGCAGGAACTCATTAGCATAATAGGCCACACCAAGAGCAAAATCATTAGCATATTAGGCCACACCCCTGACAACACAGCTCATTAGCATATTAGGCCACACCCCATGCTACCAGAAGTGTGGTCATCCAACCACACCCACCTTTTGCTTCTTATTCTGTTTACCTTCTTTGTTGTCAAAACCCAGAGCTTTTTTTGTAGCAGGAACTTCTTTCCATGTTAGGCCACACACCCCTAATGTAGCCAATCCTAATGAGTTTCTGCTGTTGGGTGTGACCTATTATGCTAATGAGCTCCTGCTGGGCTTGGCCAACTCGGGAACCAGCTGGAACTCCGTTCCTGTGCGTCCCTGCCCAAAAATAGCCCTGAGTTTGTTTATTTAGATTTTTAGGCCACCCTTCCCTGCAGGCAGGGCTCAGGGCGGCTTACAACAAAGGTAAATACAATAAATAAATTAAGTTCAAACTGGCCGTAAAATACATAATACACATATCAGCAAATAAAATGAGTAAATACTATGGCCATGGTTCTGACAGAACATCTAATAATATCTAGTATTTTACTCAGAACTTTCAAGTATTGAAAGGGAGCAAATAAAGCTGCCAAGTGAGGGTGGGGGGTGGGGAATTCCCCGCTTTGGAGGCCCGATTTCCGCCGCGGCGGAATCGGGCCCCGGGGGGAACTCCCGCAGTGGAATCGG